CTAATCATTCAAACACCTCATATAAATCATATCTCAACTGTCCAAAGCATTGAGGATCATTGGTAAAGCTTATTTCTCAAACTGTCACAAAGTTTGTATTTTACTTCAAATGGAAGAAAGGGTTCAAAGCTAGTTGGTGGATTGAAGTCTTTGGTTTTCTTATTCCTTTTGCTGGTTTGAAGTTGTCTACAAGAGGTATGTACCATTGAACCTCATCTCATTCATTGAAATTCCATAAAAAATAACATTGATTTGTTTGTCATGAAACTTGTTTTGCCACTATTTTGTTACATCCGACATACCAAATCTTGTCATGACTTAAATATATCTGTTTGGTGAATTAGATCACATTTAAAATCATGATTATAGTGGATATGTATGATTGGTTTGAGCTGTTTTCATCTGGTTTATTTGTTCATTCTTAAAATGCCTCATCTTGCATATTATTTCCATGAACATACCAGTCTTGGTTTCAGGCCAGAAGTTGTTTAAATTTGAGTTCAAAATCATCCATTTATATATTTATGACATGTATGTATGAATTGCATAATCTGTTTTCACATGGTTTGATCCTTCACTTTCAAAATGCATCTTTCAACAAAAATGAGCATCACCATACCAGTTTGGTTTCTTCTTGATTATTAATCAGTTTTGGAAATGCAAACACTTCATGTAGATCATATGTAACATGTTTGAGGTTTTGGTTTGACCTGAATATGCTTGAAACTGATTTTGGGGTTCCTTCATGCTTTGCTAAATACCAAATAACAGCCTGTGTACCATTTTTCTGCCACAAAGAGTTTTGAATCATTTCTTGTGCTTGATCTCACTTGATAGCATGTATGTAATATGTGTATGTGATTTACTTGGCTTGGATGAGCATAAAACTTGAACTGAACTTTTCATGTATACCTCAAATTGACAAATTGTAGCATGAACCTCACTTTTTCATCACAGCTCATTTTGAAACCAATTTTGTGTCTAGATTCACTTGATAGCATGTATGTGATGTGTGTATGTGAGCTACTTGGTCTAATTGTGCTTTAAACTTGAACTGGATTCTTTCATGCATTTCATAAATGTCAACTTGCACCTAGCAAACCAGTTTGCATTACAACCTGTTTTAAACCATCTCTTGTGATTAGTTTCATTTGTCAGCATATATGTGATGTGTGTATGTGTTTTTCTTGATTTAATTGTGCACAAAAAACTATTTTGCATCTCCTCATGTTTCACCAAAATGCCAAAATGGATCATGAACTTTGCTTTGCATTTCAAACTGTTTTGACTTGTTTGCTTGGCTTGAATTCATTCAATAACATATATGGGGTGTGTGTGTGTGGGTTGCTTGATGTAAATGTGCTTCAAAACTGAACTGCCCTCTTTGTTGCATCAAAACTTACCATTTTTGTAATTTGAATACCATTTCTCATGACAGTTTGCTTTTAGCCTCAATTTGTGTTTGAATTCACTCAATAGCATGTATGTATGGTGTGTGAATGTTTAAATTGACCTGAATGTGTTTGGAACTGAAACTGAATATCCTCATGCACTTCACAAACACAAACTTGCATCTTGATCACCATTTTTCACACCAGCCTGTTTGGAGCCATGCCTTGTGTTCAATTTCATCCAATAACATGTTTTCAATGTGTGTATGTGACTAACTTGATCAAAATGTGCATAAAAACTGAACTGCATTTCAGCCTGCATTCTACTCATGTTAAAATTGCAACTTGAACAACATTCTTCACCACAGTTTGTTTTTAACTCCACCTCGTGCTCACACTCATTCATTAACATATTTATAGCGTGTGTGTGTGATTGGTTTGGGTTAAAAACGATTAGAGCAGGTCTTGAGTTTCAAAATGCATTCCAAAACTCCAAAAGGCATGTGCTATCATGTTTTGAATTAGGGAGGGTATTTCAAAAAACTAACAGTGCCATCAGGTTCCTCATGAAATTTCACGCAAGATTGACTAAAGTTTTGTTAAAATCCATCAAGATTTGGTGAAGTTATGATGCAAAACACAAATCAGTTTTTCATGTGTTCTTGGTTCTTGCCTTGCCCAAGTTTTCATGATAAAGTATCCCATATATATTTATGGGGTGGCTTTACATAACGGATGTATAGCCACCCCAGTGGTAAGAACTTTGCACAAAACGTGCCTTGTACCCATTGAACCTAGGTGCGATCCTTGAGGAGGATCAACCTTTTTATTTTTTCTTCTTTTTATGCGCGTGCTGAATCTAGCCAAAGGGCGTGGGTTCAATTCCCACCCCTTGCATTTTTCTTCTTTTTATTTTCACTTTGTATTTTATTTGTACATATTTTTCCATGAACTTTCAAAATTCACAACTCTTTCATTTTTTATCATTTTTAGTTGATTCTTTTTGCATCATGTTAATTTTGAAGTCTAATTTCATATAGTATAAAAATATGGCACATTTTTATTAATTGTAAAGTCTTTTGTCTATGTGGAAAAATGTTCATCTTTTGAGATCATCATCTTACTTATTGTTGAATTTCTTTGTACATTGATTGAATTTCCTTGTGAGACCTCTGCTTCCCATGTTAGTCAACATGCTAGGATTTGTTTTCTTTTGGTTGTCACCATGATTTGTATTTTTTCTCTGAAAATGATTGTAAGCTTGATCTGTCGTCACATTTCTTTCTTCGCTTATTTGCTTTGATTGTCATCAATGCATATTTTGTGGTCGTATTTGTTATCTTTAAATCTTGTTTCATATGGTTGTCACCATGCTTTTATCTTCATCATATTTATTACTTTTTTAAGTAGTTTCTTTTCCCCAAGTGATGGAACTCTTTAGTTCTCGTCCAAGTTGTCTCCCCTCTCTCCTTCCAAAGGAAAAGTCTCTCCATTGACCCTTGTGTCATGGAAAGCTCATCACCTCCTTTCTTGACTTTGTTAAGTCATCTTTAACCTTAGTTTAGAAGCTATTAGACTTTGCTTTAAGTCTAAGAAACCCACCTTTTACTAGGAGTGTTCTTCAACTAGAACCCTAGGATAGAGTTTGTCAACTCTATGTAAGAATCATCGTCATGAATTCTTACTTCCCCTCTTGAGTGTTCAACTTAGATTATAGTTTTTTGTTAAAACTCCACACAAACATTGTCATGTTTGTTCCCCTCTTGAACCTTGATCATAATCAAGTGTTCTTCATCCCTTGTGAGGTGAACTACGATTGCTCTGATTCTATCCTAGTTAGGATACGTAGGCAGAAGATGCGATGTCTTTGCGAGCAAAGCTTAGAAACCATTATTAGGTCTTTACCTACACCTTTACCCTAATCCCAAACCATAGCATATTTACCCAACCTAGCAAGCAATCAAACAAAAGGTTCCTGTAGAGTACTACAGATGCTTAGGGTGCTAACACCTTCCCTAGGTATAACCAACCCCCGTTCCCCGAATCTCTTAGCGTTGTTATTACATCGCGAAAAGGGTTTTTCTTTCTTTAGACCTTTCATTTGGATAAATTAAAATTCGGTTGTAAAAGAATTAAGATTCAAGTTAATTTAATAGCTTGATATCCAATTTTCACCGCAATACCCATGTACATAAAATAAATTCAAGCATAGACCCTAATTCATAAAATTTAAATCAAATTTAACACCAACTCTGAATTATCACAATTTTTAACACAACAAAACTCAACATCAATCACAATGCCTTATTTTCTAATTAACTCAAGGGGTCTAATTCAAAGGTACCCACCAAAATTGAAATAAAATGCCACAACAATGATTCCTCTCTGAACCAAACATCTCAACATAACTCCACATTTTTCATCAAAACTCAGCATTTCGACATATCAAACTCATTTCGACATATCAAATAACTCAAAAATCAACTCATTTAATTCAATACAACTCTAAACATATCAAACTCAACTCTAAACATATCAAATAACTCAAAACTCAACTTATTTAATTCACAAACTCAACTATAGACTTATCCATATCTTATTTCGACAAATATATCACCAAAACATTGAGCTTGTGTCCTAAAACATTAATTTAATTCACATAGCATCTTATCAAAATATCACATTTCTTCCTAGTCATACATCAGATTCAAAATCATAAAATATAAAAACTCGTGTACATAAAACAAATTCAAACATAAACCCTAATTCCCAATTTGAAATTGAATTTAACACCCCTATTTATACTTTATTTGAAATCAGTAAATATAACAAACATTTTCGCATTTACCTTACCAATAGTGTGGTCAATACGAACACAATCAGATTTTTGGTTGTGTTATGTTTGATGAGCGATTGAATGAGATAAATTCAAAATAATAGGGACAAACACGATAAATGTTTTATTAATGTTCGTCTTTTGGGAGAAAATGCGAAAAGATGAGCTTCAGGTTGTTCAAAAATGCCAGACAAATATGGAGTTGAATATGATGTTAATAAAGTGAGGAAGATAAATTTCAAATTGTTCGTGTTGTTTTAATTAATTTTTATTATAAACATTAAAATTTAAAAACAATATTAATATGTTAGAGCCTTAACTGCAATATTCATATAAAATTATCATAGTAAGTGACATATATGATACAGTCTTATGTGGCATTCTAGGGCTTAAGGCACAATTTTGATTGAATGTAACTTCTTCAAAGAAGTCATTTTAGTTTTACACCAGGGTCATCACCCAGATTCAAATACAAGGTGTGTTAATGATTTATAAGAAATCAACCGCAAGAATTAGCTGAGTCGCATCATATTCGACAACATTAATCAAATAACTCTGTAACTTAGAGTATAATCTGTAACTTAGTTATTTAACAACATAAGTTAATTAATTAAATGACTAAAACACCGGTGGTTAATACAACTGATTAAACTAACTCACTTGTTATAACACCTTTACAATCAGTCTTCGAAGCACAAGAACCTGAATATTCTTCTCTTACTTTCTCTCCAAGAAACCGCTAAATATTGCATTCTGTCAATAATATTCTGCTCATGGATCATCCACCACCACCACCACCACCACCCAAATCAGTGGCAATAAGTTCTCGTCCACCAAGGCCACCACGAAGAAACACTGCTCCATCATCACAAGTCTCTCAGCGGCAGCCGCAAGAATCATCACCGGAAATAAAAGAATCTCAACTACTTTCATGGTTTCAAGAAATATTTCCTGGTAGAGACCTTCCACCATGTCTTCAACCGGAGACGAACAATGTTCCTCCAAGAGACTACTCTTTACAACGCATGCCAAGTCTTCCTAGATCAAACGCTGTACCATGGCATAAGTCACCAGAACGATTATTATTACGTGAATTATATCCTCATCTTGATGTTCTTTGTACCGATTTGGTAGACAAGCCCGGAGGAGGACTTCGACCACGGCGACCACCGCGGTCTCAGCCTCAGGCAATATCATTTCCTTCTCTAGACTCACAGTCGCAGGAAGAAATAGTTATTGCAGCTCCATCTCCGTCGAAAAGAGAACCGGTGGCAGAAACTGTTGGATCTCCGCCCGCACGCAAAGGTGGTCTTCGCCAGTGTTGGATATTCGTCGTAATCTTTCGTTGTTTTCATAACTGTTGCACTAGCTTTGGTGCGTTCTACTTATTTTACTCGTTCATTTATAATACTATAGCTGCTTCTACTATTACTCACGGTGATGATTGTTGTTTCAGGTCTACGTTTTTAGACATTACTTACATATAAAGCTTTGATCATTAGTATTGAGTTCAACTGTCAACAACAAGTTTATGATATACTGTCACAGCTTGTAACTTCAACGTTTCAGTGACCTCGTAAGTTCTTGAAATTGTTTCGGATATGAAAGGCGATGATACTTTGGAGACAAGTTATTTGAAGGGATGTGTTGATAATTATGTATTAGTCGACTCTTTTGATAATGTAGAAGGTTTTTAATACTTTAGATTTTTGTTTGACTGAAAATGTTGAATTGATGATGTACTAGGGGCACTGATCGATAATGTTAACAATAATTCAACAATGAATAATGATATTTCACTATTGAAAATGTAGAACTCCTAGTTTTAGGATTTTCTAATACCATGTGTAGATTTTCAACAATGAATAATGTTGTGTGGCGAATAAAAACTAGAATGCTCAAAATCTAATATGATAACTAAGGCATAACATTGGAGGAAATCGTATTAAACATGAACATATTCAACGTTGGGCACACAAATAAACCCTATTTTGAATCATCATTCTCAAATAATCTATTGCAAACTGAATTCTCTTGTTGTTCTTTCCGTTTTGAATAATTGCCACAAAGAAAATTATCGGGATGAGTCGCGTATTAAGTCAATTTTTTAAAGACGTTTCGTCGTACGGTCAATAATTATACAATGTAGTCACGTTTTGACGACGTCTATAGGATAAAACACTCCGTTCACAAAATACGAATATCACTTGCACTCTAATAAATCGTTCAAAAAGATACACTTTCAGATGGTATTTAAAGCACTCATATCTGAAAATAATTTCAGTCGTTGATGGTACAATAAACCACTCGTAAATAAGAACAAAAAAAATTAGACGAAGAGAATGAAGGGGAGAAGAGATATTTCAAAAAAGTTTAGGAATCTGGAGTGGATTGCAACTAATAGAAAGGATCCAATTTATAGCCAAAGATCTGATACGATGGAGAGAAAACGTGGGAGCAAAAAACGAAGGAGATCGTGGGAGAGTGGAACCGGTTCAGTCAAAAGAGCCTTTATGCACTTGGTCAGAAAGGAAGCGGGGAGACTTGGTTGGCAAGGCGAATAGGTGGTCAAGGTTACCGTTAATTAATTAAGTCGTAATTTTCATTACAGGACACCACTATTAATTAATAATAATTAATTAATTCACATTACACACAGTTAATAAATTAATTAATATTAAATAATTTTTACGGGTACCAAAAAATTGGATCAACCCTAAGCTCAAGCACAGGATCGGACCAAACCGAGCTAGTAGGCCGCCAGAGGCGACGAGCGCGTATGCGTTTTGTTTAATGGTGGTGTGTTCTCTCTCAACCACAAAATTGGGTACCCCTTAAGACCCAACCCAATTTCCCCACTTGCAATATATAAACACTACTAAAGTGCGCTCTCCTTCCTATGTGGGACTTTAATGAACCTTTTCAAATTCATCAACACACTCTAACTCATACTTGTGCTCATTTATTGGAATATATGGTCATAATGCAGTTTTACATGTCAAAATTTACCTACAACCGACTAGAATTCAAAGACAGCAAGAAATCCCATCTAAGTCTTATTGGAATATGATGTTGGATGAATTAGTTGATCTAGACGACTTAGAATTATTAAAGAGGCATAAAAGAAGAGTAGATAGATCATACAATAAAAAGGTCAAGGTTAAATTGTTTTCGACTGGAGACCTAGTTTGGAAGGTAATTCTTCCCATGGATCAAAAAGATAGAGCGTTGAATAATTGGTCTCATAAGTGGGAAGGCCCTTTCCAAGTTATCAAAGTTTTTTCTAACGGTGCATATGAAATTGAAGATTAGCTGAGGATCAAAGAGTCTTGAGATTGAATGAGAAATATTTTTAAAAATATAAGCATGCTCTTCAAGAAATAAAAATAACAAAAGAGTGATTCATACATAACAATCGAAGCCAAAGTGGTAAATCGAAATGCATAAATTTCCAAAATGGCTAAGTTAATACACAAATACCATGAAGGGCTTAAAGTTATTACATCAAAAGAACCAAGAATTCAATAGCTACAACCAAGTTAAGGGGAGGGAAGCCTTCATCTTATGGTACTTCGACTTCTGAAGTCTCAAGCGCCATTCACAAATAGATTTGTTGGAAGTAAAGGCATCAATTTCCTTCACTAGTTTCTGAGCGCTTTCAATATGATGCATGCCAACTTGGATTTCCTTGGACAGTTCGTCTTGATCAAGCTTTTGGAGTTCATCTTTGCGCTCCTTGGCCTTGGTAATTTTGGCTTCCAACTCCTTTATATGTTGTTCCCAAGCTTCAATGTTTTTGTCACAAGCTTCGACCTCCTTCTTGTTTTGTTCAGAGCCCTTCTCCAATTCTGCAACTCTTGCAGTATATTTAATGGTTGTGTCCCATTCAACTGCTTGGGTCTCTAATTTGTTTTTGATTTTGTTTGAAGCTTCCCTTTGTCGTAACCCGAAATTTGACATTCCCTTTTTCCTATTGCATAAGCATGTGCATTCGCATTACTGGCATACGCATTTTCACTTTTTCTCTGTGGTTTTGTTGCAAGAATATTCGGATTTTTCAAGCTCGATTAATTACATCCTCACAAAGACATCACATCATCAACACGAGAAAAAAACAAGGGTTTTTATGCCTATTCATCAAATAAAAAGGTTGAAAATCAGAGTCGTGGCCATAACACCACTCTTCAAGCAAATTGGGTAAATTTTGGCCTGGTTAATCGATTAACCGTTTGTCAGTACAAATGGGTTAATCGATTAACCCTTGTAAAAAATGCAGATTCTACTGCATTTTCTGGACAGCCACTTGCACTCTACTATTTTGGGGTCTACTTGGTTCTAGCATTGTGTGGAACATTCTAGACATCTCTAGACATTTCAAGACCTTTCCAAACACTTCAAAGCATTTACTCCAATACACCAATTTGAATTGGGACCACCATGTAACTTCATTTGCAAGCATGAGAACCCTTTGATTTGAATTTGCATTTGGATTTCTACCGAGTCAACTACCTAACTAATTGAGTTAACTTCCAACTCAATAAGTTGAGTCCAATTAACTCCAAGGCTAGTACCAAACCTCATTTCAAACCTAGCAACTTCAAACCTCTTTTCTATATAAATAAATCTCCGCCATTTTACAAAGGACCCTTGATCATTTTCTCACCCTCAATCATTTTTTCAATTTCTACATTCATCACTCTCAATTCTCTCACATTCTCTCTGAATTTTCTGCAACTTTTACTCAGATTCATCTTCACTTTCTTCCTAAACCACACTAGAGCTCAAATTCACCATTGAAAAGTAGCAGCTTCTACATTGGAAGTGCTTTTCTCTTGAACTTAACCATCATTATCTTGTAATTCTACTTGTTTTATGAGTTTTTATTGACTTTTGATTCATCTTAAGTGATTACTCTAAGCTTCTTTGGTGTAAATTCATATTTGGAGATTTCTTCGCATTTTGCTCAATTTTGCTACGATCCGGTTGTTTTCTCTGGTTTTCTTTGACTATCTTCATCATAATTCATTTGCGACGACATCCAAGGAACATCTCAACCTTGTTGTTTGGAATTTCTCACTCATTTTATTGTTTCGATAGTTTTCGTATCGTTTGCGATGTAGTTCCGATAATTTCTTGTATGTGAATTGATTATGCCTTTGCTTGATCCTTGATCTTGATGAGTTAATTGATTCCATTGATGTTTATTTGCTATATTTAGAATTGATTTTCGTACATAAATGTTTGCCCTGACATGTGAGTGATTGCACAAATCATAAGTGGCCAAATGTGCTTTTGAAAAATCAATTTGCATCCACTGCTTCAGTGTTAATCGATTAACACTTTTGCACAGGCAAAGTGTTAATCGATTAACACTGTGCATTTTAGCAAAAATATGTCTTTTTTAAAGGTTTAATCGATTAAGACTTTTTCACTAGAAAAATGTTAATTGATTAACACTGCTTTAGAATGCAATATTTGTGCATTTTCAAGTATGTTTGACATTCTTTTCTCATTCAAATCCCATGTATTGTTATGATTGATTTTTATAGATGTTTTATGATTCATTTAACTTCTGTATGAAGCATGCTTGTAAGCTTTTCGATGCTTGATTTTATCGATTACGCATTTTTTCACGTTTTTGGCATTATATGGATTTCATTCATGTTTGCATTAAGATTGTTCCTCTTTGGAATAAGCTTAATCTTGTATAATCAATAATACACCCTTTTTCTTTAATGATTTTTTTATCCCTTTGGAAAATTGTTAGCATATCACTAATTTTTTATTAATCAATCGAAACTTTGTTTCGATAAGTTAGTCTTCCCTCTTTCTTTTCCTTTAGATATTCTTGAGCTTTGTCCTCTCTTTCCCCTGTAGAGTTGAAGATTTGTAACACTTTGGAGCACTGTACAAGTTTGCGTTGTTACGTTGTCGGTTTTATTTCTCGCACTACACTTTGGTGTTAGAGAAGGAATTAGAGTTGAGAATTTCTACACTCCATCTGATTATTTTGGGTAGGGGATGAATGACCCTGTGCTTGGAATAGTCGCCTATATCTCCTTATTGTGGTATCCCCCATTTCGCAGCCGAGTCGATTCTTGATCACTTGTATCCTAATCTCCTATTTGGGTTTAGCTCTCTCCTTTTGATTAAACATTCCCTTTCTCTTATGGCCAATCACCATCCTTGGTTTCCCCAGAGATTTGTAATCACTCCTTTCTTTGGCTAATCAACTGTTCCTTGGTTAAAGCCAAATTCTCTTCTTTCCAGCGAAGTTAGTTATTTCTATTGATTTAAACAAAGTCTTCTTGTTAAAAACTGAGTCCTTATCGGAGTTCGCAACCTTCTCTTGATTCTCTCCTTCTTGTTTGGTTAATCACTTCCTATCAGTTAAAACACCAATTTATTATTTTCTTAGTTAATCACAGTCTGTCTGTTAATATACTGAGTTTGCCTTGGGTTAATTACTTTCTTCCGGTTAATCACC